CCCCCCCCAAATGCAACAGTGCCCCACGGTAAGCGTTAGTACTATGTACCTCAAACATATGATATACTAATAAAAATTTTATAAACAAAAAGCAGATGACTGAAGTGCAAGAGTTGTTTCTGCATTTTCAGGGCTATTACACTGATCAGCATGTCTGTTTTTGTGCTAGTAACATGCTGTTTTTACTACTGTAGCTCTGTAGTATAACTTAAAGTCTGGGATAGTAATGACTCCTGCTTTGTTCTTTTTGATCAGGATTATTTTGTCTGTTCTGAACCTCTTCTAATCCAATACAAATTTTAAGATTTTTTTTTCTAGTTCTGTGAAGGACACTATTGGCACTTTGATTGGAATTACATTAAATATATGTGTCATTTTTGGTACTGTGACCACTTTGACATTATTGGTTCTGTTTATCCAAGGAAAGAGGATGTTTTTTCATTTTCTAATGTTCTCTTTGGTCTTTTTTTTTCTTCAGAGTACTATAGTGTTCATTTTTTTTTTGCTTTTTTATTAATTTTATTGAGAAACAAGTAGCAGTGAGACAGTTTCAAAACCGATAAAAACCCCGATTAATAGGACAGTTTCAATAATTAATACATTGCATATTATTGTCTTAGTAGTCGTTATTCATAGTACAAGATGTAGACATGATATCCTGTTCGAACTCTCTTAGCACAAATCTTTCTTCTCATTGAATTAAGAGAAAGTAGCTGTATATCAATCCTATTTTGTATATTCAGATACAAAATGATCCTTCATTTTTTTTTACCCACAATTTTTTACTTTTTGAAGCTTACCATAAATGGGATTGTTTTGTTCATTTTCTTTCCTCAATGGGTCTATTGTTATTGTGCAGATACGATATTATTGATTTTTGTGTGTTGATTTTGTATGGTGCCTCCTGAAAACAGGAGAATCACTAGGAGTCCCATCCTATCTTAACAAGCTTCTGGGCTGGCAAGATAGTTCAGCGGTCTAAAGCGCCCTCTTAGGCAAGTTTAGGCAAGCACAGAGGGACTGCAGGTCAATACCCGGCACCGCATGCCGCACCATCCTCACCCCCAGGATGGGCTGAGCTGGCCACAAAAAAACAAAAACATCATTTAGGGCTGGCCAGATTGCTTAGTGGACTAATGCTTGGGCCGACTCAGGGACAGGGGTTCAATTCCTGGCGAGCCATGCTGGCCCCGCCCCCAGGGTGTGCTAAAATGGCGACAGACTGGGCGTGGTGGTGCTCACTTGTAATCCCAGCCTTTAGGAGGCTGAAAACAGGAGGATCACTATGAGTCGCATCTGTGTACTGAGACCCTGTAGACCGTGTAGACCCTGTACTAAATATGTAAGAAGAGGGGGTCGGGGAGACAGCTCAGTAGAATAAGTGCTTGCCTGGCAAGTGCAAGGTCCTGAGTTCAATCCCTGGTGCTGAAAAAAAAACCTTTCTGGTGGAGGGGCCAGCCAGATAGCTCAATGGACTAATGCACCTACTTAGGCAGATTTTGGGACCGGGGTATGATCCCTAGCATGACGTGCCAGCCCCGCCCCCGGGGCGCTCTGAGACAGCAGTTGAAACTGGAAGTGGTGGCGCACCTGTAATCCCAGCACTTGGGAGGCTGAAAACAGGAGAATCACTAGGAGTCCCATCTGTGTAATGAGACCTTGTAGACCCTGTACTAGATACATGAAAAAAAAAAAAAGAATCTTCTGGTGAAGTTTCTTTGGTGTTCTATGAAAAAGATCATGTCATCTGTAAATAAGGGTAGTTTCATTTCTTATTTCCCTGTAAGTATGTCTTTTGTTTTTTTTCTCTTCTGTGATTTCTCTGACTAAAGTTTTAAGCATTGTATTGAACAGGAGTGGTGAGAATAGATACCCTTGTGTTGTTGCTGGTTTTAGAGGAATTTTTTTTTAATTTGTAAAAATTTTATAAGTACATGCTTACAGTACCTAATGTTTAGATTTGTCTTTGGGAGTAGGCACATGTACTTCATGTGTCTTGATTTTTTTTTAGTCCCCTTCCCTGCACTCCCACCCCTCTCCCTCCTACTATAGATCCTCTTTCTCCATTGAATTTCTTTTAGTTCATATTTACAACACACAGTGGTTGTATTCATTGTGGGTATCTGGTACACATACATGACACATTTTATTTATTTTTTTTGCGGTACCAGGGATTGAACTCAGGACCCTGCACTTCCCAGTAAGCACTTATTCTACTGAGCTATCTCCCCCATCCTGGCACACATTACATTAAGATTTTTTTT